TTGTGGGTAGATCCTAAACATACTATTATTGATTTAATTTCTTTACACAGCTACGTTTACATTTTTCTCTTTCATCTCGAAGAAGTGTTAATAATTTACATTTTAAAGAAAGTGGTTAATATTGTCTATGACATCCCTGTGGTTTTAAAAAATCTCTGTATAACAATAGTAACATTTCTCTTTGCATTCCTAATATGGTTTACTTGGGAATTTTGTTTTCTTGATTAGTTTTATAAAAGTTTTGTCCACTTTATTAATATTTTCAAAAGATCAACTTTTGATTTAATTTTGTCCTCTGTTGAGTTCTTTTGGTCTTTCATTTCATTAATTTCTGATTATTAAAAGAAAACCTTTATTTTTAGGAGAGCTATATTAAAATCTTCCACTCTGTAGATATGTCAAGACATTTTCAGTGACTTACTTTATAAATTAAGCTTTATCAGGTATACATCTAAAGAATTTTCTCTTGAGGAAAAATTGGTAAGTTTAAGTTCTATGTCAGTATTGGAGGCTTATTATTTATTTATTTATTTTTGTTTACTAGGAAGCAAAGAAAGTTTTAGCCCTTAATGCCTAATTTTTAAATTAAATTAAATTAAATTTATTTTTTGATTTTAAGAAATCCTTTAATTAGGAGCTGGGCTAAAGGTTATTTCTACATAAAACTATAATTAGATTTAAAAGTTACATCTAGATGCTTTCATTTATTGCTTTATATATTTTGAGACTATTCTTTTTTTTAACTTTTAATTTTTTTATTTTAAAGAAGTGGGGTACAATTCAATGTTAGGTATACAAATGTTCATTATGCAGGTACACTTGATAAGGTGTGCCCTCCCCCTCCCCGGGCAGATACCCATTACTGCCAATTCCACATTCCCTCCACCCCTGGCAGTTTCCCGCTAAACCAATCTTTTTCTTATAGTATTATGATAATTATTCAAGGTCCACTTATGATGAGAACATGTGATACTCAGTTCTTTGTTTCTGTGATAGATCACTCAGTATTATAGACTCAAGTCGATCCAGGTTGCTGTGAAGTTCATGATTTTGTTCTTCTTTATGGCTGTGTAACATTCTATCGCATATATGTACCATATTTTTTTTATCCAGTCCTCTTTTGATGGGCTGCAGAGTTGGTTCCATGTTCTTGCTACTGTGAACAGTGCTGCGGTAAACATATGTGTGCAGGTATCTTTTTTATAGAGTGGTTTGAGCTCTTCGGGGTATATTCCTAGTAGGAGGATTGTGGGGTGGTATGGAAGGTTGATTTTCAGATCTTTTAGGAATCGCCACATTGTTTTCCACAGAGGCTATAACTAGTTTACACTCCCACCAACAGTGTAGAAGTGTTCCCTTTCACTGCGTCCTCTCCAGCTTCTGTTGTTTTTTGAGTTATTGATGATGGCTATCCTGACTGGAGTTAGGTAGTATCTCAGTGTGGTTTTAATTTGCATTTCTTTGATGACTAG